GCATCTTGCTCTGGACCTTCGTTCAATCCTTCAAGGTTTATACCCAATTATACAGCATGTCACACATACTGAACTCATATTCTTTTGCATGTCTGAGTTTTACAGAAATATACACATCTGTTTTGTGTATATATGTACGTACATGTAGAGAATGCCTAGGTGCATTTTCATATATTTGATACCAAATGTGTCTCTCCTCAGGCGCTGCCTTATGTTTGCCTCCTCATTGCCATGCTGTTTTTCATCTATGCCATCATTGGGATGCAGGTGGGTTACAGCATCAACCTAAAACGTGCTTTAGTGATTTGAGGACACATTAAATTTATTTTATAGGAAAATGATGACAGAAAGGTGGAGAGAGAGACTAAGGATGATGATTATGGTTATAAAGATTTGGTGCATGATGGAAGGAGGAGGGAGTGGCAGTGTGCATGTGTGAAGTTAAGTTTCACAGTGTTCAACCTTTTAGTCCTGTTTAGTGGCAAAAGATGACTGATGAGCAACTAGTCTGGTTTTCACTGTTAACAGTATTATGTTCAACAGCTGTTTGGGAATATAGCTCTTGAAGAAGATGAAGAAGAGACAGCCATCAACGAGCACAACAACTTTAGGACCTTCATACAGGCTCTCATGCTTCTCTTCAGGTGTGTGCGTATAAACATGAGCGTATTACTTTGCTTATCCCCACACACCGCTCTGCCTGCCCCTGTATATTCAAAACATTTGTTTTTTTTCTATAATCTCATGCTTCTCTTCAGGTGTGTGCGTGTAAACATGAGTGTATTACTTTGCTTATCCCCACACACAGCTCTGCCTGCCCCTGTATCTTCAAAACATTTGTTTTTTTTTTCTATAGAACCTTCTGAAACAAATCTGTTAACAGTTGTGGCAGACCTTACTCATCAGATCTTTCATCAATCAATTAATCTTTCTGTATGTTTGTAGGAGTGCAACAGGGGAGGCATGGCATGAGATCATGCTGGCATGTCTGGGGGGTAATAACTGTGACCCCCTGTCAGGGAACACAGAGCCAGAGTGTGGCAGCCAGTTTGCCTACCTCTACTTTGTTTCCTTCATCTTCTTCTGTTCGTTCTTGGTGAGCACATACTACATAGTCCAACATCCTTAGCTGGAGCCTGTCCATATCTTGTTGATCCAGTATCATAATGCATAAGAAAAATAAAAGCATAAAAGATGCCAAAGATTGATATGTTTTATATATGCATAGAAAATACCCATGCAGCAGTCTGTGTAATAGTAAAATCCTGTCTGAATGTTTTGTAAGAAGAAGAAAGCCCTGTTTATGTCAGCATAGTGTCTTCTAGCAAGGTATTCAAAACCCCACTCAATGTGCTTCTTGAGTGTTCTGCATCTCTTCCTGGCAGCTAGTAAAAGAAATCACTAATTCAGTTTTGGTCAGGCAACTTAACATGTTCCTAGTGCTGTACCTTAAAATATAATTATGACAATAATGATTTTGCAGATTAGCTTGAATAAACTCCTACTGTAACATTAACTGTTTAACTTTTTGTGTATGCGCATGCATGTGTGTGTTCATGTTTCCTTATGTGTAGATGCTGAATCTGTTTGTTGCTGTTATCATGGACAACTTTGAATACCTGACGAGAGATTCATCTATACTGGGACCTCACCACCTGGATGAGTATGTTAGGATATGGGCGGAGTATGATCCTGCTGCCTGGTGAGTGGTAACGTGCATCCTTAGATGCACATACACATACATGCAAAGAAAGACAGCAGAAATCCCTGTTTACTTGCACAGAAAATCTTGCACACATTGTTGTATTTGAAAACAGTAGTTACATCCATACCACCTTTTCTTTGTTTGTGCATGTGGTTCACATTCAGACTTTATTGTACATTTCTTGTGCTTGTTTTAATAAGCACAGTAAAAGGCCCATGCAATGAAAGAAGTAACTTCAGGCATCTGATTATCTCTGTCACACCGAACAACCCCTTCCTTCTCCTCCCCTTTCTTACTTGTTCTTTAAAATTGTCTCGAGATACACCTTACACCTTCCTCAACCTTCTCCCTCTTCTGGAATCTGCATACTGCTAAAAACTTAATGTGTCAACGTCTACACTCCAAGCAAAACTCCCCTGCCCACCTCTGTAAATGTCTACTGTAGACATGCTAAGTTTCATGGTATCTGTATTCCAGTGCCTGTTGTGTTGCCCTCATGCTGTCCTGTAGACTGCACGTAGACTGCTTTAATGGGAAAGAAAAGAGAAAAAATGTCAGAGAATGGAACAGTAATAATCAAAATTACAGGAAAATCCATAAGAGATGGAGAAAAGATTGTCATATAAAATGAGATTTAAGTACCTGAATGTAGATTTTTAAAGGCTAAACTCATCCACAACATTTTTACATAGTTTGTATGCTTTAGAAATCAGTAGAGAATTTCTTAAAATGTATAAAATGGTATCTGTCTTCACCTTTTATCAGCAGTGTTCCTTGGTGTGCATTGCATAATTGTGAGAAAAATGCCTTTATTGATACTAACATGCTATTTTTCAACCACTACCTTACTGACTGTGAAATGGACACTGCTGCACAGAAAGGAGAGAATAAGGAGCACAGGCAACGAACACATATTTAAGAGGGTGGGAATCTGCACACCACAAGCAGCTATTAAGCATTTAGCTGTTTTCCCAAGCACATGCTTTTCTCCTCTGTTAGCAGTTCTTTAATTATACTGTGCACACATCCAGCGAGAGGCTGGACTGGAGAGAGGAAGGAGAGGAATGTTGGAAAAAAGGGAGATGAGAAAAAAACAAGGAGAATGGAGAGGAGGGTTATGAAATGTAAAGTTTTATGGGCAGGACCGCATTTGACAATGTACGGCATGCAGTGAAGTGTTTATTTGTGTATGTGTGTAGTTTGCATATGTGCATTTAAGTGTCGATCTATTTAAACAGGCTGTTATTAACAGTAAACTAAGTATTTTTAGATACTGTGTACTTGTCAGTCTGTTCTGCCTCCCAACCTTCTCTCTTATTTCTGGATGTGTGGGTGTGTATTGTGTGTTTATATTTGTGTTTTCCTCCGTTTCTTAACTACCCTGTATTCTTCTTGCAGCGGGCGCATTCATTATAAGGACATGTACAGTTTGTTACGAATTATCGACCCGCCTCTCGGCTTAGGCAAGAAATGCCCCCATAGGGTGGCCTGCAAGGTTTGACTTCCATTCAGACAAACTCTCTCGACTACACTTGCTAGTCACAGCATCCAGGAATGCAGTGAATGCTGCTTTTTATTCATCTTTCTTTATCATTTCAATTTTACAACTTGTTTTCCACCATTATTGACTTGCATTCTAAACTGCTGAGAGAATGTGCAGGACAATGCAGACACCCAGTGAAGCATGTGAAATATAAAATAAAAAAAAACTATCAAGTTTTACTGCATTGTTTAAAAAAAAATCACTTTTTATGAGTATTCTTTTCTTTTGCTTGCTGTGGAGCCATGGCTATAATCTTGCAAGCTACGGTTGCCTACTGTAGTGTTGCATTGTTCTTGGTTTTTGGGGGTTGGGGGAAAGACAGAAACTGCATTGACACCCGTTCCTCTTCCTCCCCTCTGTCCTCTGAGCCGGAGCAGCTTGGTACTGGCTGTCAGGCTCTGCCCTGTTCTTCTGTGTAAAGACTTACACACATGTACCGTACAGTATAGACTATTGTCCTGTTTGCACAGAAATGTTTTTGATACTACGAGAGAACTTTTGCAGCTCAAATTCCAATCCTTATCTTCATCTTGTTGTCTACCTTCTCTGTCATTTACATTTGTTGACATGACAAACTGTTAGAGAGACCTAGAGAAGCCACTTGACCACAGTTTCTCCAGATCAGCCCAATAACCTTGTCTTTCTGATGTTTTGTTCTCTTACTTTGTTTTGTTCCTCCCCTTTCTCTCCCACTCTCTGGAACTGTCATCTTTTTTCCTACCCTGTCCTCTAATCTATCATCTCCTTCATCTTTCTTTTGCTGCATCTTTTTTCTCCCACTCCCTCCCTTCTCTTTCTCCCTCTCCCCCTTTTTTGTGCTTTTGTTAATGTGGTGGTGGCACTGGCTGATGGTGCAGTGGCAGAATCAGTTGCAGGGAAATGTATGACATGCTGAGGCACATGTGTCCTCCTCTAGGCCTTGGGAAGAGGTGTCCAGCACGGGTGGCCTACAAGGTCAGAAAGGACCTCATCGTCACCCTAGTCTCCTAGTAAACTTTAATGTTGTTTCTTTGGATCTGTTTGTTTTTGTGAAAAGTGGGGGTGGGCTGGTCGGTGTTGTGGCGTTGTGTGGTGTTGGATTGTGGGTGGAGGTAGCAGAACAGTTAGGTTTAAGTTAGTTGGGGTGTGTATCCACAGGAGGGGATGAAAAGAGGGACCTTCTCAGCTTGTTTGCACCATATACAACGAACATACACACTAACATAAGCATGCAAAAGTCACACATGTTAAAATCTGCAGTCATATTGTTTTGCAAATAGAGTGCTTATTAGAAAAGCATATCACACAAACACTGCTGAACACTTGTACACAGAAGCATGCATGTGCAGCCAAGCTTGGAAGGTCTGCTAGACTTCTGTCCTCTGACTCCTTCTGTCCTGTGGATGGGACACACACACAGAATCAGATCATATCGATCTGCACATAGATATTCTCTCTTACTTCACATGGTAGAGAGAGCAGAGGGGTTTGTGTCAGTGACGTGTTTACCTCAGAGAGCCTTTGGTTGCCAAACAGAAGCAATTCGTTTCCTGTCGCCCTTCATGTAGCAGCTCTAAACCCCCCAAGCAGCCTTTCTATCTGCAAGTCCAATCTTCTCTTTGTCCTTTGGTTCTGTCGTCAATGCAGTTCTATTCCGTTTCCAGCCCCCCTCATCTCTGCATGCTGCTCCCCTCCCTACACATTTACTGTACACTCCCTCACCTGCCTTCTGCATGGCCGTTAAGCCCAGCAACCACCTCCCTGCTGCACACACCCTTGTCTGTAACATAATCAGCACAGACAAAGTTCATTGTAAACACATTGTTATCATATTATTATGAAAATAGAAATCTACAGAATAATAACAAGTTTACCTTCATGTCACCATATTCTTATTATTGCTCTTGTGATCAACTTGATGCATCACTGGTAGATCACTGTGAGCCTCGGGGGCAGCTGGCCAAACAGCCTGTAGGCACAGGAGATCGATCACTCCATTGTGAATCATTGTTTTATCCAATTCCGTCCTCCTTTTGTAGCAGACAAGGGGCAAAAGGTACTCACGTTTTGTACTTTTTATGGTTCCATATGGATGGCACTTAAATATGAGTGCCAGTCAATAAAGGTATTTATTCCCCTAGGCTACTTGGCCTTTACAGTCTAAGGTTGTTGTTATAGGTTATATGGGAAATTACACTTGATTACATTAATAAATAAAAGAGGTCTACTTGAGTAGTTTAAAATGTACTGTTTCACCCAGGTTTTACATCTGTTACTCTCTCTTTCTTGGTGAATTATATTTATTTTTAACCTCCACCCTTGTCACCATTCATCCCCACATCAAATGCTGTGTTCCTTTTCTTGTCTTTTTTAGTTTTACCCTCAAATAGTTTTCCTAAAAGCCTCCTTCCTGAACTAAAAGCTAATCCCCCAGTATCCCTGATCCACAATCTAACATGCTTTCCATTCATGGTTTTAGGAAAACTTCCCTTACATCTCAATCTGTTCCTTGATAGTTATTACTTGAAGATTTTTCCAGAAAGTTGCCATCTGTGTTATGCCTTACCTGCCTTTCTACTGTCCCTAAGCACCGTGCCAGAAACCTGAACCTTACCACCGACCTTCCAGTCAGTCTACAGAACAATGACCTATCTAACTCCACTGCTTTTAGCCTTCGATCTGCTCTGTCGTGAAGGGTGACGGCAGAGCCATCAGGCAGGACAGCATTTTTACAGGCGCAGCAAATGAAGTGTGGTGATGTTTTTTCTTTTCTTTGTCTATTTTTGGCCTTTTTCTCTTGTCATTATTTCTCTATTTTTTTCCCTTTGAACTTTTCTGGAAGAGGACATATTTCTTTTCACCTCCTCGTTCCAACATACAGCTGGATTATGTTCACTCAGAACATTTTGCATCTTAGCACAAAACAGTGCTTCCATAGTGGCCATCTTTTCTTCAGGATGCCGCTCTCTCTCACCTATTAACCCTTTAATTCTGTGCCCATTTTTCACACGTTTGACAATCAGATAATTAATAATGGAGCTAGTTCCTCTATCATTTCAGTCTAGCCCCATCGCCTAAAAAAAATTTCTTACTTCCTGCAAGATTGTCCACATTAAAACAACTCACAAACTCATTTTAATGTCACCCACAGAGGATGCTTTCAATGTACGACTGCAAAGCTGCTTGTGCTGTGAGCCATGTTGCAAATGCATTGCATGCTGCATGAAAGTCGGATGCGCAAGACGTTTTTGAGGAAATAGATATTTTAAAAAAGGAGAGGCATGTAATCGGTATGTGGGGGGGGCATGGTGTGCTGCATGTCTGGGTTGTTACCGTCTTTGGTCACCAAACATACACAAATTCCAGTTTGTCATCTGTGAGTTGGTGTGTGTCTTTGTATCAACTGTTACTAATATAAACCAACAAGACCTGTAAAGGATCAAACCAGTAAACGAAAACAAAATGTTCCTGTCTTTCAGGATGGTTCCTCGGTTGTTTTTGGTTTACTGGTTTATCATCTGGTCTGTTTTACTGTGAACCTCCATGCCCCCAGGGGGAGCTCTGGATTATAGTAGCTGCTGCTCAGCCTGTCCTCCTGTTTTTTTCAGGGAAGAATGAAGATTGTAAATTGAACCAACCTGTGAGGACTTTTGGAAATCAAAAAACATAGACGGTTAACTGTTAGGAAATAACTGAATATAAACTCTGGGACAAATCTAAAAAAAGAGTGTCTTTATTAATCACCTTGGTACTCACTAGTTCTTTAATATCACAAAAAAAGAATGAAGTCTGTGATTCTCTACAGATGAATTTGTTTTGGCGGTCTACTGAAAAATTCAGATATGTGCAGTTTGACACTGTAGATGAGTAGAAACCAGTTCTTACAGGTAGACAGACAGAGCCTGCTGCTGATGCTATGCACAGCTCCTTCAGTCGAATTTACCCTAGTTCACCCAACCCCCACTCCCTTCTCCTTACTCCCTCTGTTTTAGTTGTCATCCCCACCCTACCTCCAATCACCTGGAGATTTCATACACCCTCTTACTTCAGCAGTTTTCTCACTGCTCATCTTGAATGGCTCTCCCACAGAGACTTCTCCGAATGGACCTGCCTGTGGCTGATGACAATACAGTCCACTTCAACTCCACTCTCATGGCTTTGATCCGCACAGCGTTGGACATCAAGATCGCCAAGGGTACGGAAGGTTTGAAATCTAGTTTTCTCATATGTTCATCTCCTTTTTGTTTTGTCCCCCTCAGTACAGAACTGCATGCCATTTCTGTGCTGTGAACCCAGAATCCTCTCACTTTTCCTCATACAATGTGCCCTTGATGGCACTAGATCATATATGTAACATTTAGCTAATTTGTGAAGCTGAAGCTGAGCTCATGTGGAATTGAGGTTCTCTCACCATGTACAGCTTCTAGTGCAGTCGGGATTGCCTTACTAACAAGAACACATTTATTTTGTCTGATTTCATATTGGTATGTCCTCTTCTAAATGTTTTTGATTGATGATTTGTGTACAATTTTGTGTACATAAGTAAAAATGTTTTGTACGTTTGTGTGTGTGCATGTTTGTGTTTGAATTTATGTATGTCCATGTACTTGGCATGGATGTACATGCATATATAAATATATATGTGTGTGTGTTTGTTTGTTGAATATGCCTAGGTGGTATTGACAAACACCAGATGGATGCCGAGCTAAGGAAAGAGATGATGGCAATCTGGCCCAATCTTTCCCAGAAGGCCCTGGACTTGCTGGTTACACCACACAAGTGTAAGTTGCAGAGCACGGGAGCAGGCGCAGCAATGTGGCATGGATGCGTCCAGCCTGTGCCTCCCAGTGCTCCAGCTTTGCTTCTTATCATGCCACCTGAGGACCTCTTCTCTCTGCCAGTCTCTCTGTCTCCCTCTGCTGCACCCTTTGAATCAGCTGGCACATCACCCCACATGTCCACACCTACATACATCAAATCTATGAAGACATGATTACATGAGCATCCAGAAACACAGACAAAAGCAGTGACAGGAGGTTGGATTGTGATAGGTACTGTGCTACACACACACAAGACCCTTTCCTTTCTCTCAACTACAGAATCTTCACTCACATACATCCGCCACCAGTCCCAGACCCCAGATCAGAGGGTGCCTTACTATAGATTAACTCTCTGTGGACATCTTCTCACTCCAGGGGTATTCAGCTCTGTTCACTACGTGACTGGCTAAGCATGATAAAATATTATATTACCTTTAATGTTAATTGCCCTAAGAAGAAATGCACAGTGCATTAGTTCCATATTACAGTAGATAAACACAAATCTTTTAGAGCAAGAAGGTATATAGTTGATAATTTTGTCTGTGAAAAGACTATTTGCTCAGGGTTCATGTGTGTGATATTTGTGTGAAAGTGGTTGTTTGTGTTCATGCCTCTACCATCCCTCATACAAAGGGTCCATACCAAAAAGTCTAATTGTCCAGGGTAACTTGTGATTCTTTCATCAGCAACTGACCTGACAGTAGGAAAAATCTACGCTGCCATGATGATCATGGAGTACTACCGGCAGAGCAAGACCAAGCGCTCGCAGGCTCTTCATGATGAGCAGGTACTGCTGCCTCATGTTGAATAACACGCTATTCAACTTGCATTCAACCTTTTAAATTTAAAGGCAGACTGATGCACTTAAATCAAGGCTGCAGGGCTGTAGCTCCATTCATACAGGCCTGGGCTGTGACAGCATTTGTCCAGGTCATGGAAGAGTCCTCATTCATTCACCTAAAAGGAGCATACAGGATGTAGACACAATAGGTAAATCACAATTCCCTTATCTGATTGTTCCTTGATCCTCGCTTGTTCTATTCAGCCATCTCTAAGCATGTCCTGAAGAGCTTATTCCTACTGTGAGCAGCGAGGAGGCTGCTGTAGGAGCCATGAGCAAGGATAGATGAAATCATTCTTTGCGGAAGTCTTTTATAGACCGACATGCCCCTTTATTGGAAATCAGTCAGTGATTGGATGTTTCAGATGGAGAATCAGAGGAAAGGATTCCTCATGTCTGTATAAATGTGTTTCCTCTCTCCTTGCATATTGTGTTTCCTCTCTCCTTGCATATTTTCCTCATATCTTATGAGGGCTGGACTAAGGCACAAGGCAAAAACGCAAGTGAGGGAAATATAGATACAATTAAGGGAATTTGGATTTACCCAGTAACTTAACCGTATAATGCAATGCCCCTTCTCTAATAGCAAAACCAGTGCTGCCATCTACTGGGCAAGGTTTGCTACTCCATGCTTTTACAATGATTTTAGCACTGACATTATGCAGAAAATGTAAATACAAACAATTTAGTGAGAGATTTGCTATACTTTTCACAAAATGGAATTGATTTAACACAGTATGCACTTGTTTTAACAGTTTTGATTCCTGTGATGCAGTGTTGTCACAGCCCCCAAGGTGCTCGTGCCTCAGCATCATGAGAACCTCCATACTGGCTCCTTTTACTGAGCTCAGTTCTTTCTTTTGTGGATTGCTTGTAAAGATCCTGCAACATCCCCAGCACCCATGCTTGTAACCTTGGACTGCTAGATCTGCATTATGATAACACTTCACCCTGTCCTTTGGTTAAAATACTACCCCTTGTTAAAGGAGAAAAAGCTTTCCGTGACAGAGATGACCTCCACATTAATTTTGATTGAGAAGGTGATCAATAAGATCATAAGGTGGTCCTGTTTGACCTTAAATTTAATGGACCTTAACAAGGTGTGTGCTCCTCATTAATCTGTTTTTTCATTGCATGTGCTAAGATGCTCACAAGGTCTCTCAAAGATCAGCAAACCTCTTTCACACCGTTTGGTTTTCTCATGCAGCTTTTCCCTCCATTTCCTCACAGTTCCCTGAAAGCGCACAATGCTCTGCACTTGAGTTGTTTTTCTTGCTCCACATCTTTCACCCCTTCTATTACACACCACATACTGTACATTGTCCCCACCATTTCCTCTCTCCACTCAACCTGGGTGGCAGGTCTGGGCTGCTGCATAGCGACACACAGTGAGAGCCCTCTGCAGTGTTTCATCATACTAAAATGTCATTTGTGGAGATGCCTCACTCGACATTCTGAAAGTGTACATTTTATGCTTTACATGCTGTGTTTTACATTGTATCACATAGACAGGAGGGTTGCCAGAGTCTGGATTTGAATGAAAGGAAGAAGGAAACTGCACATTTTAAAATGAAAATCTTGACATTGTGAAAGGTGTTTTTATGTAGTACTGTTGCAACTGGTTAAGTGGATGACTAGTAAATGAATGACAATAAATGTATGATTTTATATTTGACTTGCCTCATCATGCATTTCACCTGATATGTAACCCTCCAGGACTAAAATGTTTTTCTGCCAGGATGTCCTCCATCACTCTTTTATTGCTCTCCTCTTTAACAGTTCCAGTTCTTCATTCACTGCTGTGGAAACTTTGTTGCATGTATTTTTATAGTATTAAATTGGTCACCAGATGAAACCCAGAATGACTGCTGATCATTTTCTTTGATCCAACCCTGGGCTCCTGACTGAGTGGGTGAATTCTGCTTTCTTATTGGACCATATAAAGCAGTCTGATGGTTTAAGACCTGAAGGTCTCACGGTGTTGCTATGTTCCAGATTGCATTCTATATCTTTCTCCTGCTAGCTGGTGGGTATCACCTGCTTGAGAGTCTCCCACAGCCCTATTTATTCCTCTTACATGACCTCTTTTTTCTCGCCTCGCTTCAACCGACTGCCCCCTTTCTACATCCCCTTTGTACCTGTTCTGCTGCTTTTCCCCCACTTCCTTGTCAGTCTGCCTGATAGCTGGCGACGGCCATGTTGTATATCTCACACAGAATCGAACGCCATTACTGTTTCAGCGCGTGGAGCCACTTTCCGACACCCAGGATGGAGGTCTGGGATTCAATGCCCTCCCTCCACCCGAGGCAACAGAAACTATCAACACCCTCCTGTGAGTTGGATGATGTTGGTGCATGTGACTTTACTTGAGGTGGTGTATTGAAAACGAACCAATTAATGAAGGTGTGTGTATATGTGTGTGTCATAGACCGGTGGGGGGGGGTGTCCCAGAGAGCCGTTCGTGGATGACGGCTCGTGCTCAGGAGATGTCCCAGAAGATTGGCAGCTGGAGCCCTGAGGGGCTTACTGAAGATGGCCTGGGGAGCATGACCAACTCTCAGGTAGAAAACTCATAAATGCATACCCAGGGCCACCTGAACCATTCAACAAGGAAATCAAGAGAGTGAATTTGCTTTCTGTCGTACGTGCATATCACTTTTACACAAAACAGAACTTCAAAGCTCTTACTGTGTAAACCTTCCTGCCTTGTTATCTTTATCATTTCTACTCAGTAGCTCGTTCTCATTTCCTCCAATCTGTCTTACCTGGATTCTTCAGTTATCATTGATATGGCCTTAACCTTTCTTTTATTAGATCCATCTCTCAAACGTTTTCACACAACGTTTTATCTTGCAGAACTTTTCCTTCACCTTTACATTTCCATATTTCATGTGGAGTCTATCTTGCCCCTGTCCACAGAGTGGTTCACATCTCTGTCTTCATGCTGTTAAACCTCTCTGCTTGTAGACCTCCTAGAGGACCTGACAGGTCTCTCTATAGTGATCGACAGAGGTCTGGAGAAGTTTAAACACCATAGGTGATAGAAGAGAGTGGCTGTCAGCTTCATTCAAACCAGTTTGAATGATAATCTACAGTACAAGGCAACTCATAAAACAACAGACAATATGAGGTGATATATAACAAGCACCTTTACAGTAAAACACTACCCAATCACTAAATGTATTTAATGAGATGATAGAGTCAATAAGTAGCAAACATATGCTGAATGTGGTTGATCTTTATTTAGCATTACGTAATTTAGAGGCTGTTATTTTTATTTTATTTTTTACCTGGTATTTCAAAAATTACTTTACGTGATGAAATGCTGGCACTGGATCTCTGCTAATGATTTAATCTTGAACAGCAGTGAAATAGTGCCACACAAGATTAAAATGAAGGTATGTTTAAGTAAGATAAGGCCAAGCCTCCACTTCTCAGAGTATTCTCCAAACAAAATAGAAGTTGACATATTTACATGGGAAATTTTGCATGGTTGTCATTTTTACACAACCTCATTTATTGTCAATGCAGTAGTGTCTGCATCTGGCCAACACTGTTGTGGTTTTCTTATGTCGTCTGGGCTGCACATAATTTTACCTTCCAAGCCAGTCCTTCAGTGACTCATAAGCTCCTCCGTCTGGCATATGTGCCATTAAAAAAAGAATCTTCACCTTCTAGTGAATATACCAGTGTTTGCTTACAGCTGAACAGCTTACAGCAGACTTTGCAAACACAAAATTAGAAGTCATCTGGAGTCTGCATGCCATCTTTTCCACATAAGACCCAAACAGCCAATTTCTTTTTTTTCTAATTATCACACTTATAAACTAAAACAGCAAAGAAAATAAAAAGGCAAAGTTGCCAACCACGCATGCACTCATCGGTTTACTTCTCTGAGACCTTCAGTTGTATTTATTTAATTATTTATTTTTTGATAATAAATCTTCCCACCTATTCCCCTACTCAGTTTTCATGGCAGCCAGTCACACCATCTCCTGCTCTCCTGCTCTGTTTGCAGACGGTAGAGATGAAAGAGATGGGGCAGGATGGTTACTCGGATACTGAGAACTTTCCACCAATGGAAGGCCATGGCAGGGCCGCTTCCATGCCCCGCCTCCCAGGCGACAACCAAGTGAGCAGCATTCTCGCCTTTCCACTCTCCTTCTATTTCCCCCATTTTGAATGTTCCTCATCTCCTTGTGTCCAAAAGGGTCATATTTACAAAGGTCTGACTCATTGCTTACAGATGTATTGCTGTGGGTATTTGAACCCATGTTGGAGAAATTTTAGCACAGAGCTAGAGGGACTTCTGCAAAATTAGGGCCATAATTAACAAAGTCCAGCTGTTGAGGGCTACCTTTTACACAGGGTTACATGTAAAAAGAACAATGGATAACATGAGTGAATAGAGGCCATCCTATAATGACAACTTTTCTGGCTAAACCATGGAAATGTTTTGCTGAAATGTTGAGTTCCAAACATGAATTCAGAAGGACCACAGCAAGGCAAACCCAGACCTCCTTCTTCTCTCTTCTTCTCTTAATGTCTTCTTCTACTCCTTTCATCCTCACACATGCATAGAGGTTGTCCCATTTTCCATCTAACACACTTATCAGTTTTATATTGTTTCATATTGTGGTGAGTGCTCCTGTTGTCATGTGCACACAAACACACAATGCCCTTTATGAACGTCTTTGTCCCCAATTATTTCCTTCTCTTTTTTAAAGAACCTGACCCTGATTTATATATTGTTTGTAGTTGTTTTTACTAAATTCTCTTTTCCTTCCTATCAAAGGTTTTGCCTGTGTTGAACTCTTTTTCAGTTTTGGAGGGTTTTTTTTAAATCGGTGTGATATTGTGTGTTGCAGGTGTATGTGTGTGTGTGTGTGTGTGTGTGGTCTTTTGTTTTTGTTTTTCTGTACCTGTCAGGGACCAAACACTGGGAGAGCACATTAACATTGTAGGACTCATCTTCCCTGTGTGGACCAGATGGTGACCCACACAAAAGTAAATCACTGAACTTTAGGGAGACAACTTGATTTAGAGTTAGGATAAGAGTTAGGAAAGTAGTGGTTAAGGTTGAGGTTTGAGTAAGTCTACAGGCTATGAATGTGTAAAGACCAGCGAAGTGCGAAACAAGGGTGTGTGTGTGTGTGTGTGTGTTGTCTACAGTATATGTTTGTGCTCGCCCTGTTATCTGTGCCCTAAAACGCACCCTGTTTCTGTCACAATGTTGTCTGCTGTTTCAGTTTATTGTAACCCTGCACGTGTGTGTGTGTGTGTGTGTGTGTGTGTGTGAATATGCATATCCATTTGTGTGTATATTTTGCTGATTGTCGTCATCGCTGTCATGACCACAGTGCTGTTAATTGAGCGTTTTCATTGTGACCTTGTCTATACTACTACTGTTTTGGTACCAACCACCCCCAGTGTCTGTGGTAAGTGTCGCTCTTCACCTTCACTGCTGCTTCAGTCTGATCAGACTTTCTCTCTTCTTCCTTCTCTTTCTCTCTTTCCTCACTTTTTTGAACCTTCATCTGACATTCACTGATTTTTACTTGCGCTCCTCTGTACCCCTTTTCATTGTGTATCAATCCGTATTTCTCTCCATCTTCCTTCATTCTTTTCTCTTTCTGGTTCTGTGTGTATGCTCAATGTGTGGCCACACCTTTGGTGTATTTGTGTCTCTGTGTGTGTCTTCTCTGTGCTTATACAGCAGCGGAAGAAAGGGAAACAACGTGGCAGTAATCTCAGTGTATGTACCCTCTCTCTCTCTCCCTCTCCCTCTCCCTGCCTCCCCCCTTCTATCTCTCTCATTTTCACATACTTGAAACCTTTTCTCATTTGTCATGTTTTCATATTGTCTTATTTTTAGTGCGAGGGTTTTTTTAGAATTTGTGAGGATAACCTTGTTCAGCATGACCAAATCTAATTACAGCCCAGCTTCCGAACTAATCCATAGTTACCTCTCTCATGCACTTAACATAGTGTGCTTGGGATTGAACTGTGCACGTTCACTCTCATCAGCTCACTGCCACTGTCCTGTGGTCTCTGCTTCTCTCTCTCTCACTCACTCTCCTTGACTCTCTCAGCTGCTGCTGCTAATGCTTTGTTGCTTTATGTCTTTACGTCTGAGTGCTTGTCTAATGATGCTGTAATGGTTTTCCCCTTTAGAGTCCAAGTCCCCATTAACATCTGCCCACCTGCATGCAAGAAAATTATTTAGATATATTTAAGTGTGTGTGTGTGTGTGTGTGTGTGTGTGTGTGAATAATGAAGACTGACAGAGAGAGGAATGATTTGGGTGTCTGTGTGTGTGAATGGATATGTTGTTAGGATTCTCAGTGCTAATTCTATGAAGCCTGATAATCTGGTGTTTTATACACATGTGCCAGCTTGTCATCTGTTGTTAATTTGTCTAATGCACAATAACTGGAAAACTTGGCCAGCTCAGCTGCTGAAAGAATCTAGCACTGAGGCAGTAGTTCACATGATTAGGCTGCAACTTGAGGCATCATAGGTACTGTCCTGCTGTCCCACCTCAGAGCACGAGGCCTCAGCAATGCAGAAGGAAGTTCTAATTTGGATACAGGACTCAGGACAACCCCTATGTTTCTGCATGGCTGGTTGAAAGCATGCTGAAACAGAGCAGAAGTAGAGGACGTTTGAGCAACCTGCAATGTGCCATGTTCATGTGGTTTATGGGTAGAGAGGATAGAGGAGTGTTGCAAGTTGTACTGACCCTTCTATTCCTTTTATCATTTACCAAGCAATTCACAGAAGCATGGACAGCATGGCTGTTTGCCATCATGTCTTATTATGTCTTTATTTAGACTCTTTTTCATTCCTCTGTGTCAGGGGTCAGCAGTTACTTTGGTTTCAGCACAGTTTATCTTAACACTGTTCCCTGTGGGGACTAGCACAGTTTTACAGGTGCAGTGGTGGCACATGTCTATGGCAGGGATTCTTAAAATACTATTTAGTTCATCTGAAAACATAAGAGATGTATAACATTTATGTTTTCTTATGTCTCAGTGCACTCCAGGGCCAGCAGTAGCCAGGCTTAGACCTCTAATCTCTTCAATACATGGACTTAAAGGTTTGATAAATGTGGAAGGATTAGACACTATCAGTCCAGTTAATTCCATAAACCTGAAATCCAGCACTATAATAAACATATTTCTCTTATATGTGTGGATAATCAAATGTGGAGAGTGTTAAAGAAGAATGGACATAGAAATAGGTTCATCTTACCCTTGGTTGCCAATTCCAGGCAGCTGTGTCCTCAGAACTGTCGCCATTAGTAAAGAGTATAATCTTGTATAAATGTTTTTGTTGAATAAATGCTATGGAATTATGTGTTTGAATTAAAAAGGTAAGATGTCGTTTAATTCAAATCATGTTTTAATCACCCAACTATTATTTTATTTGATAAATTTATTACATTTCTTGTAATTGTGATGGAGGGCCAAATTTGGCCCATGGGCTGTCTTTTGCCCATCCCTGCACTATAAAATGTACACATAGTTTTCAAGTAGCATGATTGGGACATTATTACTAATGTGGGAGTGTAAAATTTGGGATGGGATGTGGGAGAAAGCATGTGGGTGCTTGTATAGAAATGCATCTAATACACAGACACACAGTGTCTCTTTCCCCATAGCTCACAGAAAACCAATTCAACAATCAAGTCTCCAGCCCTCATTTGGTGGTCTCTCTCATTCTGCCTTAGACTATCAGTGACAGCAGTCCCATGAAACGCTCAGCCTCATCACTAGGCCACAGCCAGTCTGGGCGTGGCCACAGAGACAAAGGAGGGGCAGACCACTACAACATGGACCGTGTGATACCCGAGGAGGGGCGAACTTCCAGACATGGACATCGGCGAAAAGACCGGAGTCATCGGGCATCTGAGAAGTCCCTCTGCCGCTACACAGAGGCTGACACAGGTGGGAAAGACTATGTACACACACACTAGGTCTTATGATGGTTTGACAAATGTTATATTAATGCAGTTGCACTTTGTAGAAGCAGGATCATAGTTGTGCCTTTAAATGATAATGACATTTGAAAGACTGGACAGAAACACATAAGGATCACTTAGTTTTGTGTAACCCTTTCAAATGTTGTCATATTGTTAACACATCATAGTGATCTTTTTTCACCACTTTTAACCCCGGTAATAACTCAGATAAATTCCACCATCAGGCCTGGGCACAGACCTGAGTACAACCACCCAGTCAGGCGACCTCACATCCAAAGACAAGGATCGTGACCGAGATCGCGGCCGGTCCAAAGACCGTAAGCACCACCACCATCATCACCACCACCATGGCTCTGTGGACAAGGAGCGTTATGTAGCAGAGCGAGGGGGTGAATATGGACACAGACACTCCCATGACAGAGAGCTTGAGCGGGACAGAGAGAAGGAAAGGGATCGGCGCTGGTCTCGGTCACCCAGCGAGGGTCACGAGTGCATGCCGCACAGACAGGTGGGCTTCTGGTTACTTGTGCGCATGTAGCATCTAGTTGGAGAGCAATACACCATGTGTTACTTTCCAGCACAAAATATAGCAGTGGAACAGTTCAGTGGTGATGAAAAAAAAAACACAGTGGCCTCTGTTGATCAGAACCTGCTGCGAGTTACTATTTAATATGATAATAGAATATCAAACGTTGGCTACTCTGCTGTTCGTTGCTGTCAAATGAGAGGCCAAGATGTTGTTTTCCTTAATAATACACTGTTGTGTTCAACATGGCAAAGATGGTATGCACCCTATATGTTCATTTGTATATACATACCGTTCATGTTTGTCAACATGCACAGAAACATGCACATTACTGTGGGTATAACCATATGAAGAAAAGTAAGTGTTTGTTAAATGACGTCCCTGTTATCAGATCACTGTTCCAGCAACCAGCGAATATGCATAACAATGTATATTTGAGCGGTTGACTGCTGTCCCTATAGGCTGCCAGTGTTCTCTCTCGTTCCTCTCACTACTTTAACTTTTACCACATCCTTTTCCAAGCTCATTACCCACCACATTTTATACTGCCTATTAAAATGGGAAACAAAAGGTATCATCTACATTTAGCCTTGTGAATTGTATTTCTTTGTTTTAACATGAAAAATATTGCCAAGGTGCACTAATTTTATTTAAAGGGTAAGAAAAAAATTTCCAAAATTGAATTAAAAAGAAACAACTACTTTTTAGAACTCGGCATGTTGCATACAGGTGATTCAGCTCACTCACAATGTCAGACCAAACACACTGACTATATGAACAATGTTTACCCTGTAACACACTTGTTGCTCCAGAAATCAACCCTTTACCTTTCTTTTCTCCTGTCGTCTTTTGTTTTCTTTCCTCTGCGTGACATGTCGCTTCTCTATGTATGGTGCTATTTGAATCTCATCTTTCTTATTCCCATGCTCTGCTCTGTTTCCTTTTGATGCCTTTCATTTCGGCCTTTCTCTTCTCCATTCCACAAACATTACAAATGGTGCTTTATATTTATTGTTGCTGTGTGTCCTTATTGTCTTTTCTTGCTTTCTTTCTGGATTCTCTGCCTTTTTATCTTGTATTCTTTCTGTCCCTCTCTGTTTTTTGCATACTCTATCTCTGCCATCCTCTACTTTACATGTCCTGTCGTTGAATTTGTGGTTCGTTTTTTTTTATTTGCTTTATTTCACTTTTTGTGTAGGGCAGTAGTTCAGTGAGTGGAAGTCCTGTTCCCTCAACATCAGGAACCAGTACACCACGCCGAGGTCGCCGACAGTTGCCTCAGACCCCTGCAACACCCCGGCCCCATGTTACATACTCCCCTGTGGTCCGTAAGGCCATGCCCACACCACCTGGTGGGCCACAGAGCAGATCCCCAGCCCCTCGCCGCTTTTCTCCTGAGCCTCCCCAAGTCCAGGGCCCTCCACCCACTGGCCCCCAAGTGGCTCACCATGGCACACCCCGCCAGGGTCATCATCCCCCGGCTCGTTGGGGAGACACAGGTGGAGGGGGTGGCTCCATGGAGGGGGGTGGCTCCTTCTACACCCAGGACTACCAGGAATATGAGCGCCACCATGAACCACCTGCCTATGAGCAGAGCCCCATGCAGGGTGGCAACCCCCACCCACATGCCCTGACCAACCACCCACTGCCACCTCCCCCACAACCACAGCTACATAACCCTCATCCCCTCCCTCCACCACAGCCACATCCGGTAAACATACCCCACTCTCATCCCCCACCCCATCCACAGCCTAGTCGTACCTCACCTAGAACTGCTCACCTTGCGACCCCTCCCACCACTGCCCTGACTGGGCCTGTACAAAGCCAGGTGCCTGCCGCCCAGCGCCGCCTTCCCAACGGCTACCACTCTTCATCACCTTCCACACATCTCCATGGACCCCCACATCCTGGGCCTCACAAGGTCCCTCCTCCAGCTGGGCATCCTAGGGGTCCTCGCAAGGGCCTGCATGAACCCTACAATGAAACAGAGGATGACGACTGGTGCTAGTCTCTGGGGATGGGGGAGGGTTGTAAGAGGAAAAAGAATCGGTAGATGTACTGGAAGATGAAGATGGGAAGCTCTGAGCCAGTGCACTGACCTCCAAGGGAAAACATGACTTTTCTTTCTTGTCCAATCACTTTTTTCCTTTCCTTCACTGCTTGGCTGGTCCCAGGGATGGTTGGCTAAAAGAAGGGATACAGTAGGTGTCAGAATGAAGGGATGGAACAAGAATGCTGAGGCAGGATCTGGAGAAACAAGTGACATAAGAGAAGCTAACAAGCTACCTCCATGTTCTGCTCGCATTGTTGTTTCATCATCTCCTGATGCCAGATGAGGTTCACTTCAAGCTGCAGTGTTCATGGATACAAACATGATGGACATTACTAGTCTTTGTGTGTCTTAAATTACACCTCTGGCAATGAGTTACAGCCACTTATAAGATGTCAAGAGTTGCGACTCGACAAAAGACACTTTACTGTCAGAGACAAAAGAATGACCACTTTTTTTTTTCACTTCTCATGGCTAACTTCAGATAACTGCAGAAATGATCAAATCCAACCCTCCCAGCCACCAGTTGAATATTGATGAGTTTTATCATCTGTGTTTTTAAATAAGAACAAAACTGACTATGAGCCCCTCCACCTATATGAGGTGAGAAGGCTAAGTGGGTGGGAGAGTTGGTGAGAGTTGCTTAGGGTTGACAAGTTAATTGGTCAAAATCTAGAGGACAGGGTAGGTGTTTTGGGGATGCTTACTCCTGTTCCTGGAGAACACCCTCCTCCAAGTAACAAACTATTTAACCTTCCCCCACTTACAACCACCGAGAAAAGAAAAACAAAAATGTGTAGATGGGTTTCAGAAAAAAAAAAAACACAATACAGAAACTGTTTTCTGCAGTATTTCTTCTATTCCTGCAGCTGCTTCTTCTTCCTTCTACTTCTTCAAAACATTGAAGCTTGAATCTTCAGTTGCACCCCTCACAGCTTCAGTTTTTACACTTACGGAGCTGTGCACCCTGTGGAATACTGCATGAATAATACTAAAAATAATAATAGCAACAATGAGAGAGATTTTTCTCTGTCCTTTCTGTCGTGGTCTATAGGGTTTCTCTGTTTTTTAGTGAAAATGCCTTTCTGTTTCTCTCTCTCCCTCTCTCCTCTGTGTGACATCCCTCTCTCTGTACCTTCATTTACACAAAAATTAAGTGGCAGAAGGATATAGGGAGACTGGAAAGTTACTGTATGTACCATATATGTAGATGGAACAAAATGATAACATTTTGCTTGCTTGTCTGTATGTTCTGTGCCAAATGTCTCCCACTGATACAAGTGGAATTGCACATATTTTTTGTGGAAGTAATTTTTTGTAACTAAGGTGATAATTCTAAAATGATAATATCGGGAAGCAGGGTAATGTGGATGAAAGTGTAGTGTCCATATTGGTTTAGAAATGTTCCCAACTCAGTAACATCTCAAAGTCTTCCAGGGTTTGGGGTTAAAACATACACATCAGAGAGAAAGAGACTAATAGGAAGGCAGAGGAAGGAGAGAAACTCTTTGTTTTCTTTGTTATTGAGTGTAGTAATGGGTAAACAGATATATAAAAATGCATCATGATAATGAGGCAGATTCTCCATAGCTGCTCCTATATTTTGTTCTGTATGGTGGTTTTATTTAGAGCTCAGCCAATAATTTTTTCTCCAACCACCGCTGCATTGTGGGAAACCACGTTTGCAGGAGTTTAAACTATCTGAGATTGCTAAAAGCAGTAAATAGGTCTTCTTTCTTGCCTGTCTTTTTTTTTTTTAAAGCTTGAAGCTATGTAGAGTTTAAACAGTCGGTGGAGAACCCCCTTTAAAATATTGCCCCTTAACACAGCAGTGTCCAGTAAGTTTCCGCATTTAAATGGATGTGTCAAGCAGAGTTCCACCACCACTTGTGACCTTCAGGTGGCGCTGTATGACAAACAGTGTCTCTCTGGTTTTTGTACCTCTCCCTTTACCTCACTTCTGATTCTGAGTTTTTATGCAGGATCAGGGCACCAAGAATTTAGTTTAGCTCACTGTCTCACTAGTATGCCACCTCATCTGTGTTCACCATGTGTAAACACATGCAGCTGAGTTGCACAGTTCAGATGGGTTGGAAAAAAGATCTCTGGGACTTGTCATGGTCCTGGTAAACATCTGTATCCCACGTGTAACACACACCACTGTCAGTCCCCCAGAATAATGTTTTTTTTTTTTTATTTATTTGTTTAATCATTGACCTTTGTTTTACCTGGAGACCTATCACAAGTTTACCAGAGAATGCACCGAACAAATTGAAAAAAAAAAACTGCCTATTAGTGTCTTTCCAACCTCAGTGGAATGTCACAGACAACTATTTTTTCACATCACTACACTTTAAATCAGAAGACACTTAAATATGTACTGCAGCTTCTGGTTATTGTGTGTGCGTGTGCGTGCCAGATATTCCTTTTTATTTATTAATAATTATTATTATTACACACTCATAGTGTGGGGACTCGTGGGCTCCAGATGCTGGTCCCTATGTAAATCATTGCATTTTAAGGTGACAACTTGCTTTAATGCTGGGATAAGGATTAAGATTAGGCCAGCAGTGGTTATGGTTAGGGTTAGTCTCCAGCAAATGAATGTAAGTTGATATAAAGTCCCCACGATGAATGAAAACAACTTTGTGTCTAAATGGGTTTTGACATGTGTGAATGTAAATGGATGAGTGAGTTTCTGATCACTCTCTGTTTTGTTTTTGTGTGTGCTTTGCTTTCTGTTTTTGTCTCCAGGAGTCCTTAAGACATTTTAATGAAATCATTTTAACAATCTTTGACTTTGTGTGTGTCTGTGTGTGTGTGTGAGAGAAGTCAGTAAGTTTCTGAATGAAACATACAAAACCCCAAACATTCAGTCTTTTTTCCACGCCGCAGTGAATTCCACTAACACGTTGATCAGCCACACAGACTCTTCAAAAAGCAATGTAAAGCCGCTACTGGGGATAATTTTTTTTTAAGATAAACAAAAAAAGGAAAAAATATTTAGTTTGAGAAATGCATGTGCTATGTGCATGCCACACCGTGGGTTAATAGTCATCTTCAGGACATAAAAAAGCAGATTAATGAATTCAGAGGAATAAAAAAGATATATAAATAGATGTTTTTTAAAAGCAACGTTTCCTTTTTCCTTCTATTTTTGAAAACAAAAAAGGTTAAAAAACTACAAAAACAAGTCAAAAGAATAAAAACAAAGGAGACTGGTGAGAATCAGTCTCATTTGTTTTCTTCTGTTACATGGAGTTGAGGCACGACATCCATGTTCAGGACACCACAAAAAAAAGTTTTTAATGAAAAAATAAATACAAAGAAAAGAAAGTACAGTTCAAAGATGGTGTATTCTTCCTGTGGGGGTCAGGGGTTGCAGGAGCTAGTTGGTCAAATGTTCTCATAACTGGCTGTGGAACCTGTGATGGCTCACTCACTCCCTCTCTTTTCTCTCTCTCTCTAACTCTCTCTCTCACTCTTTTACCTGTCACACTATTAACCTGTCTCACTGCTATTTCTACCAGTGCATTTTGTAATTCCAAACAGAACTCTTCCTAAAGAATAAAGTCCAGAGAGAATGCACGCTGCTCTGTCTCTTTTCTGCTCTGCATTATTGCTCTGGTCTTTCAGTGTGTGCTGTGTGTGGGGCAGGAGGCGTACAGCGGCTTTATCACAGCTTTGTTGCCTTGTATAAATAGTGTGGCAAGAAATATGGCTGATGAGACTAAACTAACCAGCACTTTGGAAGGCTGTAAAATAAAAACAGTTGTTTAAAGTGTTCTGTAGACCTGAGAGGACCCACAGATTTAGTTTGATAATAGTCAATCAGTTGGTTGCTACGGTCGAGACCTTTTATACTACAAAGTCATTTGTTAGTATAAAAATATTTATCAGAATCTGCTTTATTTGCCAGCTGTGTTGAACACACGAGTAATTTGACTCTGGTACAGTGGCTCTCAGTGTGCATGTACAATGCTCTTCCATAAGGCAACAGGTAAACAAGTAAACAAGATAAGACTGAGAGAAAAAGAAATGAAATAAATGTGCATTAGGAATCAGTGCGGCATTCAGCTGACAAACCTAAAGGGCTGATGAGGAAAGAGTTTTGAGTGCATTGGTTCAAGCAGTTTTGAAAAAACATTTGTACATGTTTTATACTTAGGAATGCAGAAGATATGAATATGTCAGTATATTCATTCACAACAAGCTTATGAATGTGTGGGGGGTTAAGATAGTGTTGGAGGGATTGAAATAGCTAGGCACACTGTGTGTGTGTGTGTGTGTGTGTGTGAGAGACGTGTATATTTTCACAGGCATGTCCAGACGGTTCCGGCCTCTCCTCCTTGCCCTGTGTACACAGGGTGCTCTGGTTTCTCTCGGAAGAAAAAGCAGCACAGTTGGGGCCTCATGGGGCTCTCTAAGGCACTTCCCCCCACATTCCTTCTTCTGTTTTCCTGAGTGAGTCTCCTTCCCCCAGCACACACACAGAGCCACTGGTGAATCCCTGTTGCACGCCCCCCAGACAACTCCTCTATAGTGGAACTGCATTCCCACACTTAAGGTTTACAATACAGTTGTTTTAGTCTTATACTAAACCCTCATCAGTAATCCTAATCTAAAACTTTAACTGTTGTTTAAAATTCAACTTCACTCTAATTAAAAATAGAAAATTTCTCTGTAACCCCTATGGCTCCCTTGTCTCCAATACTCAATCGGAAAGAATACCTACACATTGTCATTTAACAATTCCACTTCAAAGCTAATTTCTTGGACCAACCTTTGGCACCCTGTTGCTGGACCTGAACCAGTGACCGTTTCCTTTAGCTTTCAGGCCACAGTAGAACATTTCTTTAGAGCCAGGGGAGCCTCGGCGTATGCCTATGGCCAGTCAAAGGCTTTACAGCCTCCCCCTCACTCTTTGGGGCCACAATCTCCTGAATTGTCCCTGCTTTTGTTCTGCAAGCCAGTGTGGGGGATGTGAAATTGTGGGGAAGGAAGCAAAGTTCTTCACACACAAACCAGTTCCTGTTGCACTCAAAAACACCCACACTGAGTTTCAAAAGCAGAATCCCCATTAACTTAACAGCAACATTTTTAGTAGGTCATTACACATCCCGCCCACTTTACTATCAGATTCTTCTTGTAAATATGTTGTGTATACTGTAAACACACCCAGTCAGATTCAGTTTGAGTAGAAAATGTTTAATAAATACTGAGGTAGCTGTAGTCATAAAATGTTTTACACTTCAAATAAATCAACCTTTCCTTCAGGGAGGATGTAGACACTCATCACGTTACATCTGCTGAGTACAGGTTAGAGTTCCTAAGCAGATCAGTGTTCATAAATGCAGCTTCAAATCCAAATGAACTAGTTCCTTCAGTTCTGCCTTTGACCAGCTGAAGTCAGCCCCTGGTCCGAGCTATGGCCCATAATAAGTCACTGTGATTAGTAGGCACCACTTTGCGCTGCTTCCGTGATCCCTGTAACATGCCCAGGCTTGTTCAGTGACATGTTTGGACTTTGGGGCTTCACCATTCCAGGTGTTAATCCAACCGTCCCTGGGACAAGCCCACTGCCGGTGTGATCTGGCTGCCCGGCCACGTAGAAAAGGTTCTCTTGTCCCTTTGCGCAGGGTTTCAACACGCTGCAATGACTCTCTGTATTGGCATGGGGGTCGGGGGTGCTCCCAGGTCACTACTGCAGTTCACACAATCTATCAAAACTGAATTTTCAAGGAGCTGTTGAGGGTTGTTTCCCTTCTCAAGTTTTGCTTTCTTACATGGCAGAAAGTCCGGCTCGGTGGCCGTTTTGCCCTGTCTCTTCCTCGAGTGTTGTGCAGGGCCAGTCCGGTCTTGGTTCTCCTTGTTTTCTGTGCCAGTACGCGTGTGTGTGTCGCGGGGCAGCTCTGTGGGGGTGCCTACGACCTCCTCACTGAGTAAAGTCCGAGGCTGCTCGGAGGGAGTCTGGAGCTCTGGATGCACCATGGAGCGCTCTTGTTCACACACGGGTGCAACGCTTTCTGCCGCCGGCTGCGCCGCATGGTAGATGTCTCGGGCGGATTTCATCACCAGAGTCAGCAAGAGACTCCGGTGGAGACGGAGTCCCCCTCGCTGCGCACGGGAGCTGTACAGTTTCCCCAAAGCCACGGCCATGATCCTCTTGGCTTCAGCGCTGACCTCCATGTCACTGCTTGTGTTGAAACTAGTCCAGGACAAACAACCAGAGGTTAGTTTATGAAGCCAGTGTGTCCCTTCTGACTTCACACACAGACACGATACAGACTGTGTGCAGGACAGCTACTTATTACCTCGTCGACGTCATTATGCAGCGTCATATAACAGCTCCGCCCTTCGGCTTCACACCACGGTCTGCAGTTTCAAACAAGCCTGCAACAACAGGTTAGTCCGCTGTGGCTATTTTAATCTGCCGGCGTGCACTTTACTGTCCAAATGCAAACTAATGGAACACTTTGACAGAAGGCTCAAAATTGTTTACCATCAAATCCAACTTTGAGGATTGGAAACGCTGAAAGAACAACTCTCCAGAAACTCCAAAGCTGGCTGAGGTCCACAGTGATGTGTAACACATGGAGCAATGAAAACCAGTAACAGCTGCTGGATGCTGTGCTCCACTGTTGGGTTGATGGAACCTCGTAAAATGCCACGATAGAATTTGTTGTAAGCACATTATTTGTCTGCATTTTAACATAAAAAGAGGAATGTACACTGGCAATTTATAGTTTTATCTGTTTTGCAATATTTTACAAAAAAAAAAACCCAAACAATTTTCTAATTACTTCCATCTGCTTGTCAAATTAATATGTGTTTTTTAGTATATTTCACAGGTTACCTAAGTAGATTCGCACATGCAGACAACTTTGGAGTTTGAACTAGAAGTGACCCTCACCTTACAATGGCTATAGATCAAACATGCACCTGTCTGCACTGGATACTATATGTTACAGATCCATATGTATCATCATTGATCATAAAACAAGCACAAATCCTACATTTATTTCACTTTGGTGTGCTGCATGCCCTTTTACATGGCCATTATAACTGGGGGGTAGTGAATCAGCCCTGTCACATAAAAATAATTTTTGTTAACATGCAAAAAGGGCTGAGTCACCACCAAACTGTGAACTTTATTTAAAGGGCATTGAACTCTGCTCAGTTTGACTAGGCAAATAAAGGCTTAAGAGGCACGCTAAGGACTTAGCTTTAACATTCTCCAACCAGTTAAAAAAATGTCAGACAATCTGCAACGTTTAAGGACGTTTCAAAACGATTTGCAAATGTACAAACTGTACATTTCCTGCAGTGTATTTGATAAGAATAAGCTGAAGCAGAAAAAGTCTGCCTATATTTAGTCTTTCTCACACCAGGGATGGTTACCAATGGACTGCTGCAGCTCTCTGCTGCCGTCTCACAAGCCAGTCTCACCCATCCCCCAGCCTGTTGCTTCCTTTTGCAGGAAAAAAGAAAGGGGGTGGAGGTTAACAGACAGATGCCCATATTAAGCACATCCTGCCCCTGTAGCACATGCAGAGGAAAACCCATGACGTGAGTGGAAACCCTCATTTCCTGAAGCCATTTACAGAGAGGATTGCGTCAGGGTCGCCACTTCCCTGAGCCCATATTTGGGCAAAGGAATCCATTCCTCCAGGCTGTATGATCAGCACCGGTATAGTACTGTTATACCTTATTGTTGGTTAGAACAGGATTAATCAGTAATTCAGCATATAACTATACATTCTGCTCTTTAGCATCATTTGATACTGTCATCCACGTGAGTATTAGTCCTTGGACTGGGACAGAAAGAGACTAAATCTAAAAAAAAGTCTCAACATTTTTCCCACAAGCTTACTTCACTTCCAGATGAATCTGTGGTGTGCAGATAATTGTCCATGGTGTGGCTGCAGTTTAACAAAGCATCAGTTGTAGAGAATAAATAACAGGCTGTGTTTGCATTGTAAATATGCTGTTAGAAAATGTCAGAAAAAGAAGAGAATGCAGGAAAGGAGAAATGCATCAAACTCAACATGCACAATATAAAAGGAAGAAATAGCAAAGACATTATTCTGACATTGATGAATAACCAAGTATCCTCCTCTGTTGCTCGCCTTTCTTAAAGATGCTCTCTGGGTTTCTTACAGTAGTACCCCAACAGGCCAGCATGTTTTGACAGTCAGCACAGTTCACGGTTAAGTTTCAGATCATCATTACAGGTGGAGAGAAAGTTGTTTTTGACTCATTTTTGAGCACTATAGCTAAAGTTCAATCTAACTCATATGATCTATCACAGAGTGCCCCCCCGTGGCAGTTTCATGGTATTGAAGCCAAGTTCTGGAGACCAGAGCCCATTACAGAGTACTCTTTAGTGTACTCCTTGATGTAAGAACTTACCTGGCACACACTTGACTGTAGATCTGACTGAAGAATCAAACACTCTTTATTCTTCTCTTTGCTCATCACCTCTTTTCACCGGAATAAGCCAATGCATCGCCATACTGAGTTCTCGCCTGTATTAATTTATAATTGTATTAATCCAATCTGAAATCAATATCTAATGTGTGTCCTGTATTTTGTATATATATGTCAGGAAATACATTTGTCCTCGCAAGAGTGGGACTCCACCCAAATTTTTGGAAAAAATGCTGCGTTTTAGGTCTACACTAGTGGATCTCATAATCTTAACCAGATTTTAAAACGTGAGAGACCACAGACATAATGACAGCTTTAAAAGATTTTTTCACATTTTAATCTTAAGAGCACACACACTAGACAATTCAGTCAAGAGGTAGGATCACACTCTGGACGTTTTTACTGAACAATTTCATAGACGCCGATACGGGGACCGGGGAATCTCACAGAAACCCGCGTGATCAAACGTGACTTCAGAACAAAACAAATATGGAGGCGAACGTTCGTTGTTAGGCAGTAGCACTATTGTGTGCTACTTTTTGTACAGAGGGAAATAAATAAATGAAAAAAATGTGGGCGAAGTCTTCGCTGAGAACATGAAATCAACACGCCTTATACCTTTTGCAGGACGAGCTGGAGGTGAGTTGGAAATAAAGAAACAAGGAGGCTAGTGCACGCTAATGCTACAAGCGGATGTGACGCTTCCTGGCCAGCTCGCTCTCATTGGCTATTGCGGGTGTCTGGTTAGGATTCAATCGCCCCCACACGACATGATTCTAACAAATCTGGCCTGAAGTCGGGCTTATCCTGTAGTGTGGGGTCGCCTTTACATACAGCATGAACAGTGATATGCTTTCCTGTACATGCATTAGCTTGATTTAAATTTAAATTTTTCAAATTACTAAGATGGTTGTGCTCCACAATGGAATATTATGTAATCTGCATTCTGGTCTGTAGAGAATTTCTTTCAAAGGTATTATTCTTTAAACATACAGTATATTTGTTAATGTTTACCCACCAGGGAGCAGTAAAATATCACAAGAAGTAAATAGATGGCCACACTGGAGTTGCATGCATTAAATGTGCAACAAAAACAAGCTAAAATATAGGCAAAAGCTCCTTAAGACAATGTTGTTGAATAATTATGGTATATAACCCACCATTCTCACTGATTCAGCATTAATATATATATTTAAAAAATGATTATTTCAGGGATAAGGCACAACCTACAGACCTTTCTCAAAGAGTTGCTTTGGATACAGCAAAAATCATTAATGTGGACAAATATTAAATGGAGCAGGCAAAATAGTGGCTATTTCAGTGAGCTGTAAACCTACATGGGTCAGTAATTGGTGCATATGGAGTGTGTTGTAAGCCATGCTCTGCCTTTATTCATGTGGAGAAATGCAAAGCTGCACTGCATTGCCTTGAGCACAGTAGATACATGCACTGTCCAATTTTAATGCTTCTCCTTCAGTACCACTTAAGCACGACCATGACAGGTTTAATTTTGAGTCTTATCCACTTGATTTTTAGTAGCCAGTTGCCGTGACGGTGTTCGAACACTAGGCGGTGCACTAACGTGGTAATTTTAAAAGATGAGTTGATTCAGCTCGCGGCTATGCAGTGTTTGGTGAGCTGTCCATACAAAGTAAAGGTTTAATAAGGACAATGTTCATTTCATCGAGGTTACATATGCAGAAGATAACAATGCATCATTCTGAATTTGTTGATCTAGTCATGTGTACAGCAGAAAACGTGATCACTTGTAATCTAATATAGAATGAATGTCAAAGACCTTTCCAAGTTCATGATGGACAAAGCTTATTCTTGATCCAAGTCATTCAGTAGTCTGGAATGTCTTAAAGTGATGCCAACATTATTAATAAAACTTATTTATTGATTTAATACTTAGATCTTCACTTTAAGGTAAAATCACCATTTATAAGAGAGAGACAGATGTAGAGACCTCTTTTGCTCAGGTCTTTCTTTTAAAAGTTTTTTTTTCTTAAATAATGTGAAGTTGGTAAAATATAAAATACGTATGCTCACAACTGCTGGTTTCATGGCAGCTTTTAATGTATGTACTGTGCATAATGTGTGAAAGTAAAACTATAGTCAAATGAGGACAGAAACAGCCGTGTGACATAAAAAGACTGCCTTCAAGTGTGAGTACTATGAGTACGGATGTGTGCATAGAGGAACAGTCAAGATCAAGTATGGATGTTTAAATGTTTTATCTCTAGGTGTATGAAAATTTCTTATTTGCCAAAAATTACAATAAACCATTTCCAATTTCACAGGACCTTTCTACACAGAAATATATTTGAAAAACAAACTTTTAAATGTGAGCACTGCTGTGAAATCGAGCATAGAAATGAACCTAAATTAACATTTATACCTTTATTCATATTTTTAAGTAAAATAGAGAATGCCCCTGGTAAGGCGCAGCATTCGAATCAGGGTTGCGTCAGGAAGGGCATCCGGCGTAAAACACGTGCCAAATGTCAACATGCGAGTCGTCAGTGTGATGATTCGCTGTGGCGACCCCTAAACGGGAAAAGCCGAAAGTGACTTTCAGAGAATGCCTTTTTTGTTTTCTAGGTAAAACTCAACTTTCAAAATCTAGTTTTAGTTTATCAATTAAAATCTCTAGGAAACTATATGAGCTATGACTGAGCTTTGTTTCTAGTCAAGTTCAGTTATATTGTCAGTACACTTCTCATTCCAGTGTTCCAGAGGTTTGATTAACAACCAGACACTCAACAAGCAGCTGAACAATAACATTTAAGTAAAAAAGCAGTCAGAGAAATTGTTACAAATCTTTTATTAAGATATTCATTATTTTATCCATCTCGACATGTTCTCTGATTTATATTTATTTTACAGTTATTAATGTGCCATTATATTTGATAATGTTGGGTCACAGTTACAGGGCTTTCACAAAGTTATTGGCACTTGGAACACAGAAAGAAGAGGATGAGCAGTACAGGAGGTCTGGTGCTACAGAGTTAGAGAGGCAAGCAACAGGGGCGAGGACATGGGCACACACAAGTTGTGAAGGAGCGCCGTTTCTGGGTAATTATATACCTCATGCTGTGAGTGCACAACAAACAATCTGATCTCTATATGTGTGTCTATATATAATATACAGTATTTATCTATACAAGTATATAATCATATTTATATATGTACTGTTAAGTGATAAAAGGTTCCCCATGCCGTGCCACACCTTATCCATTCAAGTGTGTAGGTTTACATGTTTTGCGAAGTATAAAACTATACGCACCTTGCTTAGAATGTACAGAAAAAAAAAGCATGAAAGCTTTCTGTTCTTAAATGCACATAAAGTAAAACACAACCACACTTGCACATCTACTGCAGACAAAGTACTGTGCAAGTGGGTTGTGAGTGAGGAGCTTTTTGGACATCAGAGAACTTAATGTTTACTAAGCCATAATGAGTAGAGTTGGCCTTGAAAGCTAGCTCTAGGAAAAACCCCTGACACATAGTGTAACCAGAGTCATTTCTAGTGAGCTGATTCAACGGAATGCAACACAGGCCTTTCAAAGCTAGGCTCATGAGCACAACAGCAGGATGTTCTGACTTTGTCAGTGGTGCACTGGGCACATTTCTGTGTTTGGGCTGGGCTGCTGTTCTGAATAGACCAACATGGCTTCCTTAAAAACAGCTCTGATGCACTGGTGATATTTCACCTCTCAGTGACTCATAATGGAGTTCAGTCATTTAGTAGGTTAATGTGAAAAGCTAATTAAAGCCCTTGTTGCTTCTTCATCACATTAAAAGCTTTAAAAAAAAATCTGCCTAATTTTTTTTCTATAGGAGACTCGCTGCCTTTTCTAAGAGGGGCAATAATACAGTAATTATACACTGCTTTCACTGATATTTATCCGAGGGACCCAATCAATAACAGTCCTGTAATTATGAAATTAAATTCAGACATTTGAACTGTTATTTCTATTGCACTTCTAGCTTGGATGTCCCCAGAGGCCCTTATGTTGAAAGTCATCACAAGGCTGTTGGTCCTTTGACTCTGTATTCAAAGCAGCTATCTAGGAATCTGCTATTATAGTGCATTTATTTTGAAAAACCTGAACACAGTGTTTTGGCAATGAAAATCTTCATGTTGAACATTCTCAGCTTGATTAAATCTGAAATGGATTATGGTCATTTTAATACACATGGCAAATGTAAATACTGTCATCATTAAAAGAAATGTGTTGAATTGTTGACTTTGAGCTCTGATGCAAAGATAGCTGACAGCAACAACTTAAACATACCCATTATAATTCAGATTTCACCACCTACACCCACTGCTTTGCCTCTTTCTAAAACCCATGAAAAAAAAACTTGTGGAAGTGAAACATGACACCAGCTGTGTGAAGGACAGGAAGCACAACAGTATTCAGAGGTACTGAGGTGGTAAATGGGGCATGGGTGCTCATGTTGCATCTACAGTCAAATGCAAAACTGAGGTTTTGTTGTCATTACCCTTACTGAATACTTACAAGGTACTGCATTTTTGTTTTGTCCATATATTTTATATATCTCCTGATCAAAGCACCTAAGTAGAGTCATTCGAATATTATAAAACAATAATGAAAATAGGTTGATCTATATCTCTTTTTTTCAATACAGTTGACTCAACTGTCTTGAACAAGATGCATTATTTTCTTCTTGGTTTTACACTGTACCGGTCTTCAGAGAAACAGAACCTTTTTGGAAATGCCTTTCCAGAAGGACAAAGTAATCAGTCATCTGTGAGAGCATTTCAGGTTGAGAACACATTACTAAGTCAGACCCTGACGTTTACAAATAGCCTCCTGCAACAGAATTAATGAACCCCTGCGCTAACTACAGGTCAACATGCATTCACAAAGTTCAAACAGAAAGGAAGAACACTTGGGTTTTAACTCAACAGTCTTCTTGATTAAATACAGTAGGTGCTCATGCTGCTTTCTAAACAAGAAACACAGGCAGACATGAACAAATTGCACCTAATTACACCTAAAGGGGGTAACTGCTACACAATTTCTCAAAAGGTGCATGAACCACTGGTTCTTCTCATTAAGGTGCAGAAACCTCCACACTACCTTTCATGGAAGGTGCAAAATAATTTCAGCCATTTTGGATGTCCATAAAGAGGCGAGACATTAGATACATGAATAAACTACATACCAAATGACAGCTGTGCAATACAGACTCACCTTTACCAAAGAACTGTCTCACTCACACATGGATAAGACCATAAAACCTATTTCCTTCAAGTAATATTGTCTCCTCCTTGACATCACTGCACCCACCAGCCTTTTATTGGTTGAAATTAAAAGGCACATTCCAACACTCCGTCATTACTTACTGTGACTTTTGCATTCTAAAAAGATGTCAGTAGTTCTTTTTCTTTTCAATAATTACAGTACAAATATAGAACTAGCTGAGTTAACACATCAATATAATTTTTATATAATGCTCAAAATTGTGGACCAATGTTTAATTTCAGGAGGAAAATGGTCCATAATCTAACAAGAAAGGGTTATCGCAGCAAACAGTCGAGCCAGCTGAATCAGTCTTATTGTTCCTTTTAAAGTAGAGAACAAAAGATGAAATGCTTCGAATGGAGCAGTTCAACTGCTCATTGCATCGCTCTGCACTGTAAAATAAAGATAAAAATAAGTGACTAAGGGTCCTATGATAAGACTGCTTACATTCCTTTTTTTCTGCAAAAATAGCACTTTTCCTTATTTGACAAGACCTCTTTCAATGAAACATGAAGATAGAGATTTTAAAACAATCGCTCTCACTCGCTGCGCTCACACCATTCTAGGCATGGGCACTTGTATAAATATAGTTTGTCTACTAAAAATATGACCATCTTTGATTACGTTTTGCCTTTCAGTTTGCTTTACAATCGTCTCAGTAAAAAGCATTTCCCCTCTCTCTGGACCACTTCTCAGTTCACAGAAACAATCACTATAAAGTTACAAAACAGAGAAAGATGCCATATATTTCTATGAGACACCGCACAGTGAAACACAGATTCTCTGGTCTCAAGAAAGGTGAGGCAGGGTGAAGAATACTCGCAGAGTGATGAGTGGAAGATGCATGGGGAGGAAGAACAGGTAGTGTTAATTCATTTTAATTATCTACTTTGAGAAGGCTGGAATACAAGTTGTCAGGCTTGCATAGGGAAAAATGCCACTGACACTTACATTCAGTATATTCGCCACCGCTTCTCCTAGCCTATCCATACAGCCATCCCTTTCTCCTCCTCCCCAGGCTGCACTGGCAGCTCTCCTCACCACCCATACATTAGGGAATGTATTTAATATGCAACGGTGGATGCGCTTACACACCTTAAAAAGACAAGGGGAGGCAGAGGACAGTTAGAAGAAAACTAAACACCCTCTTGCTCACCCTTTGGTAAATGGTCTTATACTTATATAGCTTCTTTCTATGCACTGAAGCGCACTCAAAGCACTTTACACTATTTCCCATTCACCCATTCGCACACACAAGCACTCACATATTCACACACCGGTGATATCACTTGGGGTTCAGTGTCTTGATCAAGGACAGTTTGACATGCGGATTGGAGTTGCCGGGAATCCAACCGCCAACCCGCTCTACCTCCTAAGCCACAGCCGCCCCCTTTCCTCAACTAACTCCGTTTTACAGTCCTTAAGCAAAAAAATGTTACTTTTCACATCCTGGTTACATTAGGGTAACAACTGTTGACCCCAGCAGTGTAGTATAGACAGTCAGATGTGTGAGATCAGCATGGGCCAAAGAGTGAGGAGGCAAGCAGAAATAGGGAATACCGGTAAGTGTGTCGCCAAATTTTAACCTTCCCTGGGCAAAATGTTCAAAATAATGGGCCTCCGTCCCCACCCACACCTGGTAGTGATTCACCTGAAGAGCCACCTGACTCCATACCAGCACTGCTGGTGGCCTCCAGAGAGGCATGGTTGAATGCCTGATCCACCCCCAGGGTGTCATCCTCCGTCTTGACACCGTCGGGAAGGAAAGCTGAGTAGGCGTCACTCTCTGCCATCAGAAGCTTCAGCTTGGGGATCCAGCTCTTACGAACCACACGCCGGGCGTTGGTGCACATGTCAGCTGCAATGGCATTCATCTCACTCTCTTTGAAGCTGGTGGCAAAATTCTGGCAATAAACTGACACATGGAAGAAAAACGCAGTTAGGCTGGTTGTTAGGCTACAACTAAGACTAGTAGTATCATGAAGCAAACAGAAGCCTCAACAACAAAACTAAGGCTCAGAACTTAACTGTCTTTATGTCTGTATGTTCAGCTACTCCCCTCTATTGTAATCTGAATCATTTAATATAATTGTTTGCTCTAATGACTGCAAGGCACATGGAGAACTAAAGCAGCACCTCCTCACACTGGAGAGGAAAACAAGTAGCCCGGCTCTGTGACAGCAAGCAACACTCTGCTGGTTGCAGCTTAGTATTTAACATATCTCTGCCAGAAGGTGTATAAGTGTATTTCCCAAAATGTCAAACCCTAAAGACAAATTTAATACGTAATATATATCCTGTTACTGATATGTAAATGTTTAGTGAAGCACCTCAGAGACAACTCTCTCAAAACGTGTTGCCTCATTTCATTAATGAGATGTAGGGAGATGTATTCATCATCACAAAGCAAGCCCAAACGTCACCGAGCTCTCAGTGAGTTACATGTGATCTCTGTTTAAATGTTTAAAGCATGCCCTTTTTCATACACATCTGAACATAATATTCACCTCCAGCAGTTACATACTATATACACCCAAACAATACATTCTAATTTTCGAGTCCATCTGTTGTTGACATTTGGTTTCAGGGTCAGTGTTGCTATCTGGTGGTCACTGTGAGTTATTACCTTTACTCCCTGAACAACACCTCATCTAGTGACAGTAGGAAGAGAATCTATCAGCATTTTCATCCAAAACTAACCCCACACCCCCAAAAACTGATACATTTAAGAGTTAGACTTATAATTAAGTGCTAATCATTGTATTCAGCAACAATGTGCTTTGCAATATGTATGTAGCCTACAATATATTTATGCACAATGCATGTACTTTCCATTTGGACCCAGCATTACAAGCAAACACCCACAGATAGAACAACGCATACGCTCACATTTGACCGCATGCAGCACTCTGTTGTCCAGGGGCTTGCGGCTCGGGTCATTGGTGGACGAGCGGATGCCTGTCCCACAGCTGTTGGCCAGAGTATTCCTGACACATCAAAATAAGAATGAGGAGCACAGAATGCAGAACAGATTAAATGAACTGATTGTTGTTTTATCCTTATTTTGCCAACAGATAAAACACTTTAAATGAAACACTTGCAGAAATAGAGCCAGACACAGACTGGAGGAACAAACCTGTCAAAGAAGGCGGCCAGCAGCCTTCTCAGCAGCACCTTGTGTCTGGTCCCTGCGCTCACATGACAGTTCATTAGCTGGGCTCGCGATATGTACACAGAAGTACCTACAAAGAAAATCAACAAACAAATGAACATTATCGCTGCCATTTATGACTCATTTAGTGTTTCACTTTGACATTTTTGACCTTTTCAAATTCAGGTTTTATTGGCAAGCAATGATAAAATCAAATATTTCACTTTCATTTACTGGAATGGACAATTTGTTCATCTAGTGACAACTCTGAGCCATATCAAATATTGGAGCTGCAGGTGGGGAGTGAAGAGGCTGTGCTTTAGTTACAGTCATAGTTTTGAGGTTTGATTTAGCTTTTTTTGTCATCTTCAATTTGTATTTGTTTGCTTTTTCCACATTTCATGTTTTCATTATTAAATCTTGAATTTGCATCAAAATTCAAAACAAAAAAGTGTATTCATTTTCATGTTAAGGTTTGTGAAATACATTAGCTGAATTTTCTCCTTGTTTTACTATTAAACTACTCTACAGTATTTGCTTCATATACTAACTCCCTCCTTTTCTATCTCTCTCTCTCATAGGTTCAGTCTATTGAGAGGTATGTAACATGGCGAAAGGTAACACACACTGTCGCAGGATGTCCTTGACATAAACACTGAGTCACATGTGCAATACTGCTGTGTAATCTGTATGCCAAGCCCAGGCTTCCTCTAAATATGTGTACACATATCATTGCCACTGGCTTTATACTGTTTAGATCCCCGAAACAAAGTAACAGTGGAACATTGCTGTGTGATTATTTTCAATAATATAGATTATATCTTCCGAAAGTTTAAAGGCCCAGGTACACATGGAAAAAGTGCATTTTAACAGATCCTCTAAAACTCAAGCCTGTCTTTTGTGAAGGCAGCTTTCTTCACAAAAACACCTACACATACAGACATACCTGAGACTAACTCTAGTTTCTCAGCGGGGTCTCCTTCCTCATACAGTTTGGGATGACAGCGGTTGCCTATCTGAGCGATGAGTTCAGCGGGTAGACACGTAAGATCTCTGCCTCGCATCCGGCCACGTGTCTCTGTATGGTCCGGTAGAGCCTCGACACGCTCGCCAGCAGCTGGAGAGACACAATACTGCAAAATTAGAAAAAACAAAACAAAACAAAAAAAATCACATCACATTTAGACCAAAAAGTGCTTATGAGCCTACAATACAATGTTCAATCCAGAAACCCATAAAAATACTAAATACAAGGCAATATCTTAACAGAGAAGCCTTTCCTATTCAGCTATGGAATGTTGGGTATAAACATTACAGAGGTTTCTGTTTCTGTCACTGCATTTATGCGTACAGTTTAGTTTCTTGTCCATTACCTGTAGCGCCCATGTTGAGCATGCTGTACATGGTATACATGTTGCAGATTTGCCTATACTGCTCTTCAGCACATTCATCTGTCCCCTCTTCTTCTTCATCATCATCATGGTAGCTAATGGGTGAGTCACTAGTGTAGGTACTCAGAGTGCCGGGGCTGGCACCTTCAGACATGCCAAGACCCGCTGCAAAGCTCCCATTACTGCCAGTGCTGCCACTAAGCCCGCCACTAGCCGCCACGCCCGCCAGGCTGGTTGCGGTGGCACCCATGGCCATTCCAAGGGCTCCCGAGCTCTGTATGGAACTGCCTCGCACCACCTCCTGGGAATAACGGGCTGCCTTCC